AAACTTATTTAATGAAATCTTAATATTTTTAAAGTATTTTATATTTTAGGACGATAAATTTTCTTAAAAAATGTTTTATAGAGAAATTCTTAGCAATTCAATATCAAAAATTTAAACTTGAACAAAACTCAAGTATCAACCAACTTCAAAGTGTCCAATTGAGTAGGGGATCTCTTGGGAACTTTAAATGTTGCTGCCTTGCTGGCAAGTGGGAAGGGACAAATATCAAGCGCTTTAGGAGTCTTCAATCTAGCATCGTCTCTTTCAGTAATTTAGCCTCGTTAGTTGTCACTGTAAGAATTAAGATCCCTCCTTTAGTAGCCCTAATCAAAAGCTCATGTTTAATTTCTAACACCTTGAAATCCCTTTTGTGCCTGAACAATACTGTTAGAAAATCACCAATCCCACCATGCTTTCATATTTTGCAACACTACACAGGCTTCTCTCTCAGGTGAGACACAATTACTTCTTTTCATGATTACTTGTTTACTATATCATACCTCATCAACAATTTAGGGTTTCCCTAAGAAGCCACTCTAAATGCTTCCAAGAAAGTTCAATTTAAAAGCTTGCAAAAGCTAGATTTAGTTGTAAGCTTCTTTAAAAGCCACGATTTCGCCAAGTCTATTATAAAAGATGTCATTGGAAAGAATCTATGGCTTCTTACGTGCGTTAACCACAAAAGTATCTTGCCGAAGTTTGAATTTTTCCTCTCAAAAGGTGCTTCTACCTCAACATTGCACTCATGGTGCATAAGAGCATGAGATTCTTGGAGAGAAGCTTGGCAAATCACATAATCCCATCATATGAACTTTTAAAATTGTTTCTTCAAAATGATAAAGTTTCCATTTATTGTATAAAATGCTACTCAGATGTGGTTTATGACACTCAAGTGATAAAAGGTATCAACATGCTACTTAAGAATGGAGTGTCACAGGCGCACATCGCTAAAATTCTAGGCCGCAAGCCTTCTATACTACGTTTACCAACCAACCTTAGAAAAGCAATAAAGGAAGGTAAGGGTTTAGGATTTAATCCTTCTAGGACAACATTCTTTATAGCATTGACAGCCAAAATGAATTTAAGTAAGTCAAATAGGAAGCCAAGGTTGAAGTCTATAAGAGGTGGGGATGGTCTGACGAAGCATTATTGAGAGCATTTAGGTTGGATCCATACTATATGTTAGCATCCACGAATAAAATTAATGCAATGATGAGTTTTTAAGTTAACCATTTAGGATGAAAATCTTTGCTTCTTGTCAAGAGGCCAAAAATATTTGGATTTAGCTTGAAGCAAAGGATCATTCCTAGGGCTTCAGTCCTATAATTTATTTACTCAAAAGAGTTCATGAAAAAGAATGCTTGCATAGTCATGCTATTTATTATTCTTGAAAAGTAGTTCCTAAAAAGATCTGTAAAATGTTTCAAGGAGCAGCCAATAAAGCTGTATGAAGAACATATGAAGAATGGCAAAATGTCATGTTCATGAAGGTTTTAACCTCCATTCTGCCTCTTTTTATTGCCTCATTAAATTGCTTGGCTTATTATGTTTAAATTGGAATTTTAGAATCAATTAATTTTTGTGACTTGCCTCATTTCCTAGATTGGAAATCTTATGGTGGGTTTATCATCAATATTAGTCATACGCAGTTTTCATGCATGTCAATATTTTTAACATCTTATGCTTAATGAATAGTTAATTAAATCACAAAAAGGTGTTATGCTTGAGCCTAATTTGATGAATTATTGAGTCGTCTTGCATCCATGAATTTTAAGTTCTTTAAGAGAAAAATTGTTTTGAGCTGGCTAAAACTTTAATAATACTGTATTTTGTATCAAATGATTTATTTTGTCTTGCAAGATAGGATTATGTGGTGATGTTACGGTGCTTGGATTGCCATAGTAAATTACAGGTGTTTTCTTCAACGTTGGACATTCCATACATCCATGTTTATAACCAGATGATATCATAGCATCTGCAAAGCTTCTGTACTATATTCAATCAAGCAACCATATCTTGCTTCTTGGTTGTCAATGACACTACTTCCTCTATCTTAAATTATAAGATAATTTGAGATAAAACTACGTGTATTAATAGAGCTCAACAATGACAATTTTAAAACTTAATTTTTCAAAACAAACTATTAATATTGTTGAAACTTTAATAACATTATATTTTGTATTAGATGATTTATTCTGTTTTGGAAGATAGGATTTTATGGTGTCATTACCGCACTTGTACTGACAAAGCAAATTACTGGTGTTTTCTTCAATGTTAGGCATTCCAATTCATACATCAGTGTTTATAACTAAACGATAACATAGCATTTGCAAAACTTCTATACTATACTCAATCTAGTGACCATATTTTGCTTCTTAATTGCTGATGGTGCTATTCCCTCCTTCCTAAATTATAAAACAGTTTAAGATAAAAAATGTGTATATCAATAGAGCTCAACAATGACCTTTTAAAACTTACTTTTTCAAAACAAAAGTATTAACTTTCAAAAATATCCTTTATTTGATATGACTTTAAATCTATAATCATTTTAATTCTTCCTCCATTTGAAAGGTAATATTAAAAAAATATCATTAATGAAACCTTATTTTTATCAAATTGTCTTATATTTTATGGCAGCAAAATTCTTCCAACATTATCTTGTAATTTAGGATAGAGGGAGTATATTATAATATACACAAGAGGCAAAAGTTGATCTTTAAATCATTAGGATTGTTGCCCCAGTCTCCATACAAAATCCCATGTAAGTAAGGTCATTAATCATTAGACTTGGTCATGATTAATTTATGGGATAAGGTTCCTTTTAGAGGTACCTTGCTGTTATCATCCTCTTCACAACCTTCCATTATTGCATAATCTAACTTTATTAGTGTTATTAGAGATCCCAAGCTTGGATAGCGACACTATATATTTATAAAGTTAAGAATCAATCATTACTTTATCTTGCTACTTTGATAACTTTAAATCACTAGTCATTGATGTGACCGATTAGTTCCTTTGAGTTCTCTATTTTTACCATGGCTTATAGATCAAAAATATACTTTGCTTGAGATGGAAGCATTTTTCCATATTTCAAACTATTCTTCTCTGCTTAGAAAATAATGCAGCTTACCCAAATGCTTCCCCACAAAATTTGTGTACACATGAATGTAAAAGGTTGAATTTCCATGGTCTAAATATCATTTACATGTACTAATACCATTTGAGGACAAGACCAGGTGGGTATAGTAAAGATGGTAGAGGTTTAGACCTCTTAAATATCATTCCAAGATTTGATTCTTGTTGGTGTGTATGGAAAAACATTTTTTAAAAGACAAACCCTTAAATAGTGCTTTGATTACTTAAAAGATTAATCTCACAGCTGCTGGCTACCTTAGGTTAAAAAAAATCTAGGGGTTAAGTAGTGGGGTGTAGATTAGATGAATGAGGATGGATCACCATTTATTATGTAGAAAACCATACTTATGTGAGGTAGCTACTAGTTTTTCATTTCATGCTTCTGGGACTAACTTCTAACCATAAAGGGTTTGGATGATTTTACGAACAAACTCTTAGCTTTCAAAGCCTCGTGGCTATTGCATGTGCTAGCTCTAGTTAGACGAGAATGAAGCATATGAATTCCCAAAGAGTTAGGATAAGGGAGAAGGACAATAAATTCTACAAATGCAAAATTTATGACAGTCAAGTCCTTGATACGAAGTATTGCCTCAGTCTACATGACAAAATCGCTAGTAAGTAAGGTCATTTTTCTTTAGACTTGGTCATGATCAATTGATGGGATGAGGTTCCTTTGAGGTACCTTGTTATTATTATCCACATCGTTGCCTTCCAATATTCTTCCATGATTACTACATAATTTGAATTTATCTATGAATAAGAGATGTTAGGCCTAGATGGTCTCACACACTAAAGCTCCCACCTTAGATCTATGAAGTTGAGTATCAACCATTACATTTTGTTGCTAATTGATAGCTTTGAACCGCTAATCATTAGTGCAATCAGACATTTAAGTCTTATATAGAAACATTTTTCCATATTTCAAGCTTTTTTCTTCTATGCTTAGGATATAATATAGCTTGCCAAATCCTTCACTACAAAACTTCCTTACAATGTTTCCTCTAAGTCTTCAACTTGGCAACGTAATTCTAATGATGGCTTGCTTGATAACTAAAGAGAGTATCATGTTTTCTGTTGGAAAAGGTTCTCATATTCAATGCCTAATCATGTTTGGACAGGATTAATTTTCAATGAAAGAACACCTGTGTGTAATAAAAAATAACAATGTTGTCTTATTGATGTCAAATTCTTATGGCTAATGGAAGCCTTTGGCCATTCTCGTGTTTTGTGTTTGTTGGAAGTCCACTTCAAGTTCTCTTTAACATGGATCACTCATTTACAACTTATGGCTTTCTTGTTTGGAAGTATTGGTATAAGGTATAAATTTCATTTTTAATGGGACTCTGATATTCTCTTTGGAAAACTCAATTAGTTTTGGTTGATCGCCAGTATTTTTTTTTAATTATTAATGGCGTTATTGTGGTTACATGAAGTAAATTAGACATGGAGGATTAAGAATGAATCTTCTTGAAGGTGAGCGGAATGTTTTTCATTGTTATCATTAAAGGAGCCAATGTCATGGCTAAGTAAATTTTATTATTAAATAAAAGTAGTTATCTATCATCAATTAATTTATTCATAACTAGCTTAATTGAAAAAAAATATTAAGGGTGGGTAAAATATTTTAAGTCCATGAAGTTTGCATTTTTTTTTAGAAAGAAAGAAAATTTTATGTTCTATAAAAAACACAAATTGAGCAAAAATATTAAAAATAATCTTACATGATTAATGCATCTTAGTTTTGTAAATTTTATGAAGTTTGTATTTTTAAGGAAAAAGAAAATATTTTATGTTTGATAAAAAATTATTTAAAAATATTCACAGACGAAATTATAATTGGTGGCAAAAATGGAAAGAAGCGCAATTCGAATTCGATACTTGAGATCCAACTCGAGCTTTTCATCGCAGCTTGCCGGCGCGAAATAGACGAATCCGTTCTCTTCAGATTCCTTGGGAGAGACTCTGACAAAGCGGGTGAGCGACTACAATTGCTTTCATTTAAAGAGCAATTCAAGCTCTTAAAAAGTCACTGTAAGATCCCTCCTTCTGCAGTTCAAATCTAAAGCTCATGTTTAATTTCCAACGCCTCCAAGCCCTGCTATGGAGGAAGGGTATTTTCGAAAAATCACCAACCCTGCAATGCTACCCATCACCAGCATTCTCTCTCAAATTTAGCACAGGTAATCACTCGTTTACGGTATCATACCTCATTAAAAGTTTAGGGTTTTCCCAAGAAGCTGCCTTAAATGTTTCCAAGAAAGTTCGATTCCAGACCTCAGAGAAGCCGGATTCTGTAGTCAGCTTCTTCAGAAGCCTTGGGTTCTCTGAATCTCTCATAAACGATCTCATTAGAAAGGATCCGGCGCTTCTTCTGTGCGATCCCCAAAAAAGGATTTTGCCTAAGTTTGAATTTTTCCTCTCAAAAGGTGCTTCTAACTCCGACATTGCCATCATGATGCACAAGAGTACGAGATTCCTGGAGAGAAGCTTGGCGAATCACATAATCCCGTCATATGAATTGCTGATACGATTTTTTCAAACTGATGAAGGCGCCGTTGATTTTATAAAAGGCTATCCAGATATTCTTTATGACACTCGAGCGATACAATCTATCAACTTGCTGCTTAAGAATGGAGTTTCAGGAACGAGCGTTGCTCTCATAATGAGAAGGAGGCCTCGTTCACTGTTCTGTGCAGATGATCTTATAAAGGTGGTAGAGGAAATTAAGTGTTTGGGTTTGATCCTTTGAGTGCAACATTTGGTGTCGCATTGTTAGCCAAAATGTGTATGAGCAAGTCCAGCTGGGAAGCCAAAGTTGATGTCTACAAGAGATGGGGATGGTCTGAAGAAGCTTGGTCAGAAGCATTTAGGAAGCAACCGCACTGTATGTTAGCATCCAAGGATAAAATTGATGCAGTTATGAGTTTTTGGAGTAACATTTGGGTTTGAATCCTTTGATCCTTGTCAAAGGACCAAACTTATTTGGATTTAGCTTGAAGAAAAGGATTATCCCTAGGGCTGCAGTTTTAGATTATCTTCAGTCAAAAGCGTTGATAACAAAGAATGCTAGCTTACTTGTGCCGTTTGAGATTTCTGAAAAGAAGTTCCTGGAAAGATTTGTGAAACGTTATGAGGAGCATAATCATCATCTATTGAAGCTATATGAAGAAAGAAAATTGAATTATGATACATGATGGGGTGTTATGTGGATGAAATTTCAAAGTTTTACTTTTGATTTTTTGTTTTATTTATTTGTGATTCAGCCCCGTTCCCTTTTCTTGTTCCCATTGAAGTATTCGCCATATTTAAATTGGGATTCTACTAATTTTACTGATTCGTTTCATTTTCTAAATCAAACCTCTTTTTGGGGTTTTTCATTGATTAATACTAGCTATCCACAGTTTCATGCATGTTGGTATTTGTAATATCTTATGCTTTATCAATAGGTGTTTTGGCTGCAGAATATTTTTGTAAGCAATTTTGTTGCACTCTCCTTTCTTGACTTCATGAGTAGTGAACTTTGCAGCCCTAAATTCTGGCTCCTGCAGAAGCAATACCTTCTATGCTTTCGCAGGAGGTTGAATAATAGTGCTTCATGTCTTTGGCAATTCTTCAGTTAAATTGGATTATCACTTGGAAGTTGGAACCATAAGGTGTTCATATAGCAAGTACTGTCAACGTTGTCAACTTGTAATGATCTAAAGTTTAAACGATGTTGCTAAGATGAGGATGCAATATTCTGTTTTATCAAAAATTCTAATCTATTATCTCCACCACTCCATGAATGACCTTGACTTCTCATGATCTGTTCATGACCATGTACTGTTTATCAAAAATTTCTGTTGATTTCTTTTCGCTGCATGAAAGAAAAAGTCATATCGAGTGCAGAATTGAGCAGGAACAAATAGGCTCCATTCCTATGCTATTCATATTGGTAAGGTTTGAATTCCTGATAAAAGGATGATCTGATTTTTGTTTGCAGTGTGATTTTAATTGTGGGGCAGAATTTCAAATAGTCCTCAAACCATTTTTGCGTTGTTGTGATTTATTCTTTGCCTGATTGAGTTGAGCTTTAAAATGGAGTTCTGGAAGTTCCTAAGCCTAGTTGCAGAAATCTAGACAGGCATATACTGTTGAAGGGCATGTTTTTGTTCAGGTGTTTGCTTCTCAACGGTTGTTTTCTGTAATCGAACGAGCTGCACAATCAGGGCCTTGTTAAAGTTGTCACTGTGTATAGATTATCTCACAAAAAACTGATCTATGAAGAACCTGAAGTCTCTGAGTTTATAGGAAGACTCAGGTATTCCATGCCATCCAATGTGAGACAACAACATAAATGGCACAATGTCGTTTTGCTCTACTATCAACCAACTCTTCAAATAATAAATCCATAGTATGGCATGGGGCCTTCCATTTCTAGATTTATGTTACTGTCGTGGAAACCAACCTGTGTTCTGTGTGCTATATTTCTAACTGCTTTTATGCTTTGATAAAATCACTTTGATTTAGTTTCTTTGTTAGGTGTTTAGGCAATCTTGTAGAACTTGGGATTCAGGAAACCAGATCCTATCTAACAGCAGGCTATTCATGTTCTTCTAAAGTGTTTTATCTCTTGGAACCATAAAGTGTTCATTCATATAGCAAGAAGTTTGAATATGGTCAACTTCACTTGTAAAGATCAATATTTAGGACCTATTGCTAGGATGAGGACGCAATATTCTGTTTGATCAAAATTCTGACTTTTTATCTCCACATGTCCACAAATGACCCTGAGATTCCATGATCCGTTGGTGACCATGTACTGTTTGAACATGTTTCCACTATCATTTTCCTTTTCACTGGAAGGAAGGAAAAGATCATCTCAAGGACAGAACTGAGCGGGAAAAATGGAAATCATCCTTATGCTATCCTGATTGGTAAGTTATGAAATCCTCGTTAAAGAAACATTCAATTGTGATTTGTAGGGTCATTTTAATTGCTGTGCAGAATTTCAAATGCTTTATCCGAGCCTATTTATACGAAACAAATGACAGGTAACTATCAGTGATTCTTATGAATTGATCCGGAGGTAGTATGACTTAAACCATTATAGCTTAGCTCTAGCTTATCATTCACCTGATCAAGCTGAGCTGTCAAGTGGAGTTATAGAAGCTCGTGAATCTTGATTCATAAATGTAGGCTTACAGATATTGTTGAAGAGCATGCAGTTGCTTACTATAAATGTACGAATTCAGATATTTATTTCTCAACATGGGTTGTTGTCTGTGATCGAGCAAACTGCTCACTCTGGGTCCTTTTACAACTGCGGAATCTCGCGAAAGAACCAATCTGTAAGGAAGATGGAGCCTTCAGGTTTGTTAGGAGTCCGAGGCATCCCATGCTATCCAAATGTATGACATGCTTCTGAAAAATCTTATTTTAAAACTGTTGAGGAGGGTTATTGTTGTTGGAATTGAGCTGTATTGTGCATGTTATCTCTTTTTCTAATCACACTTACACATCTTAAATTACTATGCCTTGGTTTATGAGCAGTTCGTTTACAGGTGTAAAGTGAACCGTACTTATTAAGCAAACGTGCAGTACTTGGATTCAGAGAATCAACACCTATACAATGGCAGGCCATTCATGTTCTTCTGCAACATGTTTTCCTTATATATGGTTATCTGAATAAAAACTGTTATGTGATTTTGTATCCGCTTGACATGATATTTTTTTTCTTCGATTTTTATTTTAGGATCAGAGTCAAAGTAAAGGTAATCAAGTGGGCAACAATCTAATGTAGTCACCACTAAACAGAGACCATGTGTGTAGTATTTGCACAGAATATTAATATTAGGGTGTAGGATGGGATGGTCTCGTCCGTTACTGACATAAGTGACATGCAATCCAGGTTGATTTATAGATTACTTGATTAAAAAGTATTGCCTTGCTCTTCACTTTGGATACACGTGTAACGGATGAAACTGTGCTATTTCCTATTATGCATCCTAAAAATCTTCAAAACCTTGTTCGCAAGATTGTTAAAGCATGTGTTTGCCAAAAATGTTGGATTTGCCAAATGTACGATTAAAGACATTTGAATGGAAAAATAGGCAGACTTTAATACTAGAATGCTGATGCAAGCATTGTATTATTATCTATGAAATGCTAGCAAATTGTATTAATAGTTTTCCCCCTTTAGAAAGCATCGATATGAAAAACAATTGATGGAAATTGGTAGATGAATAAATTTATATAAATGTAATAGTATGATATAAAATTTATAAGTAAAATTGTTTATAGGTAATAAACATTAGTTTTTTTTTTTGAACAAAGATAAACATTAGTGTTTGTTTTAGATTTTATGCAATATGTAAGAAAATATGCATGATTTTATATTAACATGAAATTAAAATATAATGAACAAATAATTTTGGCCAAAAAAATAATAAGCAAATAACTGATGATTTTAGTTTTTAACAATACATTAATCTATTTGTCAATTAAAAAACATTTCATTGGAGAAACAAAATTATTTGAAATTAAAAATTGGAAGGTCATGACAGTATTCACTGAAAAATTAATAAAAAATGAGTAATTTATTTGAATAATTTCTTAATGTTAGAAAATATCAATTAACATTAATATTTGATGATATTTTTTGTTGTGCACATATATCTTACTGATACAGGTTGTTATGTTCGACAGTTCGAAACAGACACTAAAAATATGAAGTAATTCCCAAAAAAAAAAAAAGTCCCGAATCATCTCACAATTTCACGGGAAGTGCTTAGTGTGTTCTGATAATTGCAATTCGACCTGAGCTTCCATGGCGGAGGAGCGATAGACTGATGATAACATCGATCCTTCTGAGAGGCTTTGATCAAAACGATACAGCGATGCCTCAAAAATTGCAGTGAGGTCACTATCCCTCTGTTTACTTACTATTCAAATCCGAAGCTCATGATTAATTCCCAGCGCCTCAAAACCCTTCTATGGCTGAAGGGTATTCTCAATACATATCTGAACTCACAATACTCTCGACTCTTACAAAGCTACCCTTCACCGACTCTCTCTCTCAGCTACGGCGCAATTGCTTCTCCAGGTAATCACTCGTTCACCGTATCGTACCTCATTAACAATTTAGGGTTTTCCTATGAAGCCGCTTTAAAGGCCTCCAAAACAATTCGATTTGAGACTGCACAAAAGCCAGATGCAGCTGTCAGCTTTTTTCGAAGCCACGGTTTCTCTGAATCTCAAATCAACGATATTGTTAAAAGGTCTCCGTGGCTTCTTTTGTGCATCCCCACAAAACTATTTTGCCCAAGTTTGAATTTATCCTCTCAAAAGGTGCTTCTACCACTGACATTGTCTCCATGGTGCATAAGAATCCGAGATTCTTACTAAGAAGCTTGAAGAATCAATAATCCCATCATATGGATTTCTCGGAGGGTTCTTCAACAACGATAAAGGGATAATCGATTCTATAAAACAATATCCTAATATGCTTTATTGCACTCGGGTGCTTCTAAGTATCAACTTGTTGCTTGAGAATGGAGTGTCGGGGACAAATATTGCTCTCATAATCTATAGGAGGCCTCGTGTACTCCGAAAGCCAAGTGACCTTGTAAAGGTAGTAGATGAAATTAAGGCTATGGGATTTAGTCCTTCGAAAACACAATTCGGTGTAGCATTGATAGCCAAAATGAGCGTAAGCAAGTCCCATTGGGAAGCCAAAGCTGATGTCTATAGGAGGTGGGGATGGTCAGAGGAGGCATTGTTGAGAGCATTCAGGAAGCAACCACATTGTATGTTAGCTTCGAAGGATAAAATTAATGCGGTGATGAGTTTTTTGGGTTAACCAGTTGGGTTGGGATTCTTTGCTCCTGGCTGAAGATCCAAGACTCTTCGGATATAGCTTGAATAAGAGGACTATACCAAGGGGTACAGTTCTACGGTATCTTCGCTCAAAAGGTTTAATGAGCAAGGATTCGAGCTTATTCTTCCCATTTGGTATTTCTGAAAAGCAATTCCTCGAAAGATACGTGAATTGTTTTGAGAAGCGTGATGATCAGATATTGAAGCTCTATGAAGAACATTTGAAGAATGATGGCATGTCATGAGCCTGAAGGTTTTTTTTTTTTTTTTTTAAATCATTTTTGTAATTCAGTCTCGTTTTGTTTCTCCTCCCCATTGAAGCATTTGCCGTGTTTAAAGTGGGATTCAACTAATTTTACTGGCTTGCTTCATTTTTTGTAAAATTGGAACTCAGTTGGTTGATTTATCATTAATACAAGCCAACCACAGTTTTGATTTATATTTGCTTTAGCCTTCAGCAATAGGTGTTGTGGCAGAATACTTTCGTCAACAATCTTGTTTCACTGTCCTTCCTTGAATTCATGACTGTTGACCCTTGCATCAACGAATTTTGTCAACAATGAAAGTCACATGAATCATATAGCTGATCTTACCTGTGGGATACTAAGTTTTGTTGTTACTGATTTATTTCCACTCATGTGCAACAATGATGAGTGAGTTCTGAATTTCTCATGAAAAGCATCATCTGATTTGGATCTGCAGAATCATTTAAATGGTGGCGCTGAATTTCATATAGTCCGCGAACCCACTATGGCTCAACTTTTAGGCCCTATTTGGTACATAGATTTCAATTTCGAGGGATTGGTACTGGAATTAAGATTGGGATTGAGATTGGTATTGAGAATGAGAATGGGATTTTAAAATTATGTTTGGTATGAGGTAATACTTAAAAAAAAAATTATTTATTTTATTTTACAATTAAACATAAGTTACAAAAAGACTAATAATAACCTTTAAAATTTAAAAAAAGATTGTCTGATCCTCCTGAACCTTCTGACGAGCGACCATGGCAGTAGAGCATCATCTTCTCCGACGAAGCTCCCTTGCTCCCCCACCCCTTCGCTGTGAGATTCAGAGGTTGGTGGTGGTGAGATCGAAGAAGGAGAAGGCGGGGTGGGGGTGGTGTTTGCTAGACCCAGAGGCGGTGGCGGCGAGATCGAAGAGGAGAAGGAGGCAGCATTTGCGAGACCCAGCGGCCTTGGGTGCGAAATCGAAGAAGAAGGAGAACCCATCAAAGACGGTGGAGGCGAAGGTTAAGTGACCGAACGTGTGCGACAGAATCCAAGCAAAACTGAAGAAGATGATGACTGATTTGAGCGATGGATCTGGGACTAAAGGCGACGATAGATCTCAAACCAGTGAAGGAAAGAAGATGAAATGGACAGGAGGGCATTTTGGTCTTTACAAAAATCAATCCCTGGCTTGATTTTGCAATACAGGGGGGATGGTGGTACTGGATAATCCCACCTAGATGGGATTGAGATTGAAATTAAAATTTTCATTCCCACATGCCAAACACAAAAGCTTGGGATTAGTCTGTCCAATTCCAATACCACTGTCTCATTCTTTCATACTAAACATGACCTTAAAGTTATTCTTTTCCTAGTTGGGCTGAGCTTAAATGGAATTTTGGAGCTCAAAACCCTAATTAGCCCGGTTTTTTGCAATTTGTCCGGTCTTTTTACCGATTTGTCTTCGTCTTCGACTTTTAGCAAGTTCAGTTGCTGAGTTGAGCGTATACTGGACAGGACCAAGGGCCTGTTTTTGGTCCGACTGGGTGAATCTTATATCTAAACAAAGGACTAAAAGCATGCTTCTGTTCCGAAAGTTATTATGTTCTCCTATTTCAATCTAATTCAAAATGTGACAATATATTATAGGATAGCCCATTCATTATATTTAGGCCTATTTAATTACCTGTTTTAGAATGGGTTTTTTTTTTTTTAAAAAAACCTATTTGAAAATGTATTTTCTCTTATTTGTTCTGAGAAACAAAAAAAGAAATAATAAAAGTTACTGTGAAAAATTGAAAAACCATCTCTTGGAACTATCTAATATTATACCTCTTGGTACTGTGAATGCACATCTTTATTTTAAAAAAAGTTGAAAAACCAAAACATCTTTTATTGTTATTTTTTAATTCTGCCAAAAACTAGGAAAAAGACTAAAAAATTGTATTTTTATTCATGACAATGGGTGATGATAAAATAAATGATTCTTTCACCCTTTATTTCACAAAAATTTAGATATTTTTTTAAAAAATAATAGTTTAAACTTTTTTTTCATTTTTTGCTTCCCAAAATTTGTTTAAAAAGCTATTCTACATAATTGTTTTTAAAAATATAGAAGACAGAATCAAATGAGCCCATAATCTACTCTTTCTATTCTCCCCTCCTCAACTTCATAATGTCAATATATCAATAATAATAATATATATATTTAGTATTGTTTTGTCCACACTCCATATTGATGGTCTAGTTTGGTGTGTGATACAAAGCCTTTGTACTAATTATCAGCTAACCTTGGAAACAATGAGGAATAGAATTTATTCCGTGCAAACGGGAGTGGTCACAAAAGATTCAATGCAAAAATACAAAAAAATCTTGTCTCCATTCAATTATATTAAAATCATACTTCTCTATCTACAATATTCTACATCCTATTGATACCCAGAATATCCCATGTCCAGTATTACTCTAAATTAAACTATTCAATTAAATTTAATACAATTGACATATATAATTTAAGTTATTTTCGTCTTTATTTCAATTAAACACGCTGATTATCTGCTTTTGTATCTTCCTGTGGATGTTGCTTACAGTCACCTTCACCTCTCATTTCGTCTCTTCTATGGATTCCAAATCATTCCTTTTTTTTTTTAAGGGGAAAAAAAGGAATGTCTAACGAGAATAACTCCACCACTATTCCAAACTGATTCTCGGATTTATTTTTTTGGGTTAACTGTACATATATACGTTAACATCTTTATATAAAATAAGAACTCCGACAAAAACTAGTTAATGCTTTTAAATTTATAGAAGTATCTTTCATGAAGTTTATTAGATAAAAATAATAAACGGGTGAGGACTATTTAGTTAGCTAGAGAATATTCAAGAAAATGGAATTCAATGTATATAAAAAAAAAAAGAAAATGGAATTCATGAAAAGAATTTTAAACCATATGTAGAGGGCCTTATAATGAGAA